CCATTACATTTTCTCTTTCAAATAAACCACTTTTTCCCCTTTTCCCCAGACAAAATATGTGGGCTAAAAGCGCTGCAGCGTCTCCGTTCAGGCGGTTTCATGGACACTCAGAGGCTTTCTTTCTACTGCATGAAAGTTAAATCTGAGCAAAGCAGGCATTTTTCCCGTCCCGGAAATCAGTATAACCAAAACCAATGCTGAGCTAATGAGAAATGTTTCTTCCATGTGTTCTGTTTGGCAGACACTGCAAGTCATATCAAGGAAACACGTGATGTTTATAAATACAATATGGCTCATGTTGTCATAACCTCTCAATGACAAAAAGAGCATTAAAAAAGCAGACAGCAAAACAGCAGGAAAGATGAGATTTGTATCCTTTGGAAGGTCTCTATCAGATAAGAGACACATTAGTGTTTGCCTTTTTCTTTTTCCTATTTTTTTTTCTTTTCCAAAGGGAAAAAAAATTACAGTAATAAGCTCAGCAAGGAACACACATGGCAACTTCTTTACACACTATCCTATAAGCATCCTAGTGCTAAACACATCCAGCCACTCTATTGCTTGAATTCTTTTCCAATAAATACTTTTGGTCTTGATACCTCCAGTTACTTCCAGGGATTGTATGCGTGGTTTCTTTTTTGGCCATAGTATGCAAGGAACAAATGTAATCTTGACAGCATTTGCAGTTTGCCTTTCATGTTTATTGATGTTAAGATCACAAACACGCCAATAAAATACAGTTAAGCATCTCAGAGAAGTTGCATGTGTGTTTACACATATTTTGAGAACACAGAATGATGAGCCTACATCTGTTATCTCTGTATCAGTCCTGCAAACCAGCACTGAATCTCAGGCGCCTGCTATGCTGAAAGCTCACAGGAGGTTGTTGGAAGAATTTTAGCAGTAATAGGGTTTTTCCTACGTTCACAAGTTGCATATACCTAATGTATCACAGGCTTTGTACTATGCCACTTTCAGGAGGAAAATGAAAAGTTGCTTTTACRTAAGTTGGGTAGTAAAGGCTGGTCAAGGCAACAATTTATTCAATTTATCTGTACCCTTTTGCTGAACAACTCATTTTGACCTGATCCCTTCTTCTCTTGGCAGCCCAAACTGTCCATCACTCCCTGGAACATCATCATCTTTTTTGGCCATTGTAACTCCCCCAGAAGTGGAGTTTCCAGGTGCTCCCACCTATCCAGCTSAGCTTGACAGAACTTGTTCTAATTGCTCCTTCTTGGAGAAACAATCTTTAAAAAGAAATACCTTGCAGTGTACTCCATACAACAGCAGCCACAACAAGCATTCTTGGAATACTCCRACCTCACCCACCCAGCTGAGGTTTAGGATAAAACACTGACCTGATAAGGTCTTATATTCCAGTTAGGGAATCAAGAAAAAACTTAGTGTCCATAACATTTTACAACAAAATGACACTCAGATTTTCTGACAGGTGGTTGGGAGAGAGACTGCCAAGCAAAATAGCCACCGTTTTTTTATGAAGTAAAATTTCCTTCTTGATTCTCAAACTGGCAAAGCCCAAAACAAACTACTGCAAAACCCAACTTATTAGTTCCCAACTGTGCTACTAGAAATATAGACAAGTGGCAGTAACAGAAGGGTAAGACTGCAATTTAGCTATTCTTTCCCTCTTAGACACTCCAAAAAGAATTATTAGGACAGGAGCTGGGCTATGCACACAGAGCAGGGCAAACATTGCTGCTTCCCAAAGCCTCAAGGCATCAGGATAGCACCAGGGCTTTGTAGCAACAGAGATGGAAGGGAGATGTGCCACATCCAAAGAACTTCAACCGATTCAGCAACACACAAAAACCTTTCTGTTCTTTCATGTCACATACATTATACCAATATATATTGGTACACACCTGTACAACATACCAACAGACATGAATGGRAGAAGAGAAGCAGCCTGGACCTTACACTTAGTAAGTGTAAGACTTTTCCTCCTTGAATTTACGCAAATAAAATGTTAATTCAGCTGGTAAGATGAGGAGGCAAGTGGTATACATGGAATTTAAAACATGCCTGACAACAAAAAGGTCATCTAAACTTCTACTTTGGGTCATAAGACAACACTATCTCAGAAGAAAGTTTCATGGCACAGAGAGGAGTAAGAAAATGAAATATAGCAATGTGAAGATGTATTTTTCCAAAGAAAACAGCTGCTGCAGATTTGCAGTGTCAATTTTGGGAAAGGGATAAAAAGGAAAAAAAACACAAACATAAATACTCAGTGAGACAGCACTATGTGGCTGCTGCTTGCTTGAACAGCCTACAAAACAGCCCACCTGTCAAGCAAAACACGCTCTTAGAGACGTAAATGGCCAAGGGACAGCAGCAGTAAGCAAATAAGGCACTCCTAAGGATTTCAAGAGAAAATTTTCTACAGAATATATTTAAACTCCAAGAAAGAGCTCTTTTCTTACTCACAATCCATTCAGAGAGTGTATGAAAGAAAGAAGGCAAAAAAAAAAAAAAAATCAGAATTAAAGGACATGAAAGGTGAGCAGTTATACAGGACATCTGATTGCCCAGATCCCACATTCCTCTCACACATTCTGAGTCGTCTCGTCCGTATGGATAATACTTAATACTTCAAGTGTTACTGACAATTCTTATACAGGTCTCACATCTGTTTAGCAGTTAAAACAGGTGTCCAAGCTGGCAGCYAACATTATTTTCTGAGATTATTTTGAGTCTATTACATGGAAATGATTATAAATCATAGGAATAGAAGCCTGAACATCATCAAACCCAGGGATAAAACTTCCAAAGGGAAAAGAAGACAAACAGTAGAAAAATCTGTAAAGGCCAGACCTCTCTGAAATGCAAAAAAAAAAAAAAAACCCCACAAAGTTGTTACTCACACATGGCAGCTGATACAACATTCAATATCACCATGGAAAAATGTACTTGCAACTGCTAATTCTTGATAGTCTAAATGCTATTCTTTAAACTGATTTGACAATAAGCTGCTTATCTGTAGGTTTTTCGAAATGGTTCACCCTGAGGCTCAGCACAACAGTTACAGTAGCTGCTCCCTGCTTCCTGTCGCAGTGAATTTAGCGCTCAATGTTATCATCGTGCAAAGATGCACGTGGGAAAGGAAGGATGGTTAGCAAAGTGTTTGGCACAGTCCATTCTTTTGGGTACCACACAATACTAGTACATTAGATATACTTTTCTTATATTATACTTTTCTACCCTTTTATCTATTTTCCTTAGGAAAGGGACATAGATAATCATGCCACCCCCAAGTTGATCTCTTCCCTGACCTAGTAAGTTGTGAATAAGTTGTGACATCACCTTTCTGACCAGAAACACCAAAATTTACCAACGCAGGGTGAACCAAATGATAAAATAGCTGCTTTACTGGATGTGCAGAATTTGGAACAGTCTCTCTGGTACCCGAGTAGAGCCAAGTATAACATTTTCTCCTGACACTATCAATTCTGTGGGGGACATCACCTTGTCACCTGACTGGTTGTGTTCTGGCCAGACAAAACTCACCCGTAATCAGCAGGTATAAACRAGCAGATCCCTTAAACAACACAGCATTTTAACACAGGTAATATAAATTATACATTTTACACTGAAGCAACACCTGTGTTCAAAACAACTTTGCTAGGCAGCAAATACCTGGAGCAGGGCTGATGAAGTAATCTTTACCTCTGAATATAGGAGCACTTGAGCTAAGAGAATATCTAAGAGAATGTCCATATCACACAGTTACAGTGAAAGCCTCAGCAGACACCGCATGTGGATTAAGAACAGCACAGCTCTGACTTTATAAAGCCACAATATTGTAGGAGTTAGCATCATGATGTGCAGTGATAACATGCCATGCTTTTCAATATGAACAAATGGAGATACACTTAACTACTGCTGCAAGAATGTAGCTAGAATTGAAGAATTTCAGAGCCTTAAAGGAAGACACTAAAACCAATCACATCAGCCCTTTGAAGCACCTCTATTTGCCTTCTCTTGTTCAGTGTGCAGTAGTGTGCATAATCTGGTAATCTGATTTCTGACCTATCAAAAGGACCGTTTTGTATCTGAAGTACCTAAATGAGAGACGGTTGAGGACAGTGCCTGCAAATAAACCACTGCAATCTCACTAAAATAATGATGYCCCAAACTGTCAAAATGGCAGGAGTACTTACATGAAGTATCAGTAATAAAGCAGCATGGCACACATGGAATTGATAACGAGACCAAGAAGCAAAGGCAGAGTTAAGCAAACAGCTTGGCAGCACCCTCTGTTAGCTGTGCAACCTCGCTACCACCACCACGGGCTGCTGCACACCGTGCCGGGAGGTGCCACRGACACTGCTGCTGCCTGCCCCCAAATCAGGCAGCATCCAGCCTGCTTCCCTGAGGCTGCAGTCCAGCGAGAGATAGGAACAGGGACAGCAACAGAGGGAATACCTCCCAAAAGTTATCAGTTTGCAATACAAAACAGGATTTTAGGAAATGACAAAGCCATTTACACTGTGACAGGTGCTTATCAGTATTTCTAGCCTGAAATGGCCATTTACAAAGTCTTTTAATGGACTTCAAGCTAGCTACAACTGCTCAGCTACTGCTAATGCAGTTCTTTCTGCACCGTTGCTACAGTAAAATAACATCATGCTGTACTTTACCCCCCATAAAGCGTTTGGAAGCATGAAATAAGAAGCTGTATAAACTCTTAACACAACCTATGTCCTTAAATAAGTAATTAAAAACTATGCTTTGATTCACAAGCTTTAATGTTAGTAAACARGAACAAAAAAAGAGTTAATGCTCAGGGCAAGTATTTGGAAGAAACAAAGCAGTTAAACAGATTACAGGGAGCATTATCAATTCCCCTTCTGTATATGTGTTGCATATATACCCCAGACTTTATGAACTGCTGTATTTACATTACAGATATGAACATAAACATTTAACTTCAGAACTGGAGGAAAGAGAAGCAAAAAGCCAATTCTAGTACTCACCCTTATGTCTCCATTAACAGCTCTGGAGGCGTGATTAAATGCATGTGCRGGATCTTTGTTGTAAACTTTAAGGAAAGATCGGTCTTGAATATTCCTGGAATCAAAAGAACCAGCAGTGATAACTGATGCAGGTGCTTTTATTTACTCTGCTGCCCTAAAGTTTCAGGTAACAGATGGACAGACATAGCAGGGCTGCAGCTGACCTATAAGAAAAACCCAAATGCCCTAACGTAGGCGCACACACAAACAAACAAAAGCCAACTTTGATTCTCTTTCCCATGGGAAGTATCATTGCTTCACTGCAACTCCACACCCACAAAAATTAGATAGTGTTAAGTTTCTTTCAAGATCCCGCCATACAGTGGAAAACACTTTGAAGACAATACAGCTTCAATATTTACAAGGCACTCAGAAGGATTTCGTTAATATTTATTTACATGTTTTATTGTGTAGCCAACCCACATGAATTTTTGCTATTCTAAGAAGCAAGAATATCAAAAGAAAAAACAGTATAACTATTCTTGAGGCAATAAGTTAACCATTTGTTCACAAACCTGAAAAAAAAATCCATAACAGCTAAAAACTCAGTAGCAAACAAAACCAACCTCTACACTTTACCTATATGAAGTTAATAGTAATCATAACAACAAAAAATAGATAACAGTTTTGATGAAAGTTACTACAGAAATKGTTTAGATGAAAAGTCCTAGGAAAGTCTCTTTGTGTTAAATCTTTGGCCATTTCAAAACTTCCACGTTTATGAAAGAGCTAGATGACAGAAGTTTTCTATTTTGTTTCTAAACCTACCTTGCAATAATTTTATGCCTTGGAAATTTGCAGCGAGTCYCGATGATCCCTTGTTCAAACGGAATCACTAACAAAGCCTTCAATTTAAACAAACTCGCATCCCTTCAAATCTGCACTTCCTTTCATTTCACACTGGTGATCTCCAGAGAATTTACACATGTGACTAAATTCCTTTCCTCCAGGTGCAGCTCCAAGCTCAGTGAACTGATCTTAATCGCTGGGATTATCATTTAAAAATGAAGGCAAGGATTCTTGGGCAGGTCTAATTTCTCTCTTATAATGTCATATTACAATCAGCAATCGCTTTGAATGGGGAGCCAGTCAGGACTTGTGCTGCTGTTGTAGATGTCAAGGAGGTATTAAAAAACACCATAGCATAAGAGGCAGATCCGTGCCTCCTGTTTAAGAACTGCAGAGCTGATGAGGAGTTTAGTATTTATGAGGGCTTAGTTGTAAAATGCAGAGGAAAAGAGCTACCTTGTGGCAAGTTCAGGTTCTTACATTATTTATGGTAACATAAATCGTTTTCCGTCTTACAAACATGACACTTCTGCCTTGAGACCTGCACTGAGTGTCTCAGTTACAATTTTATGCCTCAGACTTGGAAACATATTCTTTCTGATACAAAACAAACTCATTTTTAGCTCAAGAAATGCCTTACTGTTCATTTAAGTTTTATCTCCTGCCTTCCTCTCTTTTTACTGATGGCTCCAAGATGGTACTTCAGCTAGCTGGAGTTTGTTTTAAAAGCATTCTCCATAAATATTTCTTGTAGAAACATGACACTTTAAAGTAAAACATTGCTGTAAGGCAAAGCAGCAAAATACAAGGCATTTGATCTCCAAAGTGAATTCTGCTTCACCTCATGTTGCTATTCCAAGATAAACATTACTGATAATAGGTATATGTTACTGTACCTTCAATATTATTATTGTTATTATTTGCATTAATGCAGCTCCCAGATGCCCTTAGCATGTTCAGAGGCCTCATTTTTCTGCGTGCTGGATAAACACCCCCATAAAACAACCCCTCGACCAGCTTACAAGATGAATACAAGACACAAGAGACAACAGAAGACTGATAAGAGAATAAAAAGCAAGAAGACCGTGTTCTCTCCAGCCTGACGGGTAATAAGCAGATGCTGGCACAACTGCCACATTGGCAGACAGCAGTGCAACAGCAGGATGGGAAGGAGAGCAGGACTGGATAGGGAGCAACACGGAGGCTTCATGGATGTTTATGGAGGACTCCTTCCAAGCCTAGGAGAGAGCACGAAGGCACTTGTTTGCAAATTAAAGACATGTACAATGAAGGTTGGCATTATGAGCTAAGTGGAAGCAGATGGCACTTGGTACCCAGCAAGGAATGAAAAGCACGGCTGAAGTGGGCCTGAAGGGGCCCTCACACTGAAGACAAGTAGTTTCTATTTAATGAGACAGGGAAGATACAGCCAGAGGACAAATGAAAGAAAGAAAACAAAAAACCTCCTCTTGTCAAGCCAGGAGAATGATCTTTGTTGCTTTATTTGAATGGGAAAGAGTAAATAAGATCACCTGTGTCAAGCACAGAGAACAGAACGTTGCAGCAGTTGCTATTAAAATGCTGATGAATTAGCTGAGTGTTTTAGCTGTGTGGTGGGCAAGGAAAGATTGTGTTAGAGGGATGGCATGCAGGAAAAAAAAATGATGCAAAGCCCTGAAAAAAAGGTTTAGAATAATGAGATTATGGGCTTAATTAGCAAGATAGTACCTTTTCCCTCCCTGTAATATATTTAAAAAAAAAAAGGGGGGGGGGGGGGGGKGGGGAGGAGAAAAAAGGAGAAGGGAAGGGAGTACAATAGTCTAATAAGGAAGAACACAAGGTGAGGTGAAAATAATGGTCCATGAGACTATGCTAGAAGAAAACATTAAGATTTTAGCTTRGACAGAAGAGGCAGGATTCATATACTCTAGCTACAGACATTAACAGGGTAGACATTAAGAACTGATATGGATTTTCTTATATGTACAACTTGACAATTTTATAGGGTGAATCACAACCAGCTCAAAAGGTGGATGTAGAAATCTAGATTTCAGATTGCTGAAATTTCATATTGCTTAAATTTTCAGGGGTTAGACAGGAAGGATAGATGAGTAATTTAGGTAGATACTATAATTCAGCTAATGTTTAGGGATATRATAAGGAAGATACCGACAGAGAAAGGGAATGAAAACATAACCCCTGAAAAAAAAACCACAACAGAAAATGATTGTTTTAAAAGAAATATCATTTTCATACATTATCTGAAAGAAGCGAAGAGAGAAACAAAAGAAGAATCTTGAAAGAACAGTCATTGAACTAAACACAGATCAAGATTCCAAGAAAAAAAACATTAAAAGTATGTGACATGTTAGAGAATAAAGATGTAATGGCCACAAAAGCAGACCATTTGGTGACTTTGACATTTGCAATGGAACAACACATASATTGCAAATATTGAAGTAGAGTTAGAAAACTCCAGATGACTGTAGAMGTGAGTATAAAAGAGGAAGGTGATGGCTTGGAAGCTGGGAATGTAAATTATATGCAGGGAGTTTTGCTGGGAGCCACACTAACATATTTGCAACATAAGAACAGAAGCAATAACAGAACAAGTTAATGAAAAGGAAAATGCAGGGGATGGGAGGAAAAAAAGGAGCAGGAGAAAGCCTCAAGAAGCAGTGGTGAGCTTAAGAGTTGACCAAGACATTTGGGTCTGGAAGTACAAGGGAAGAGATAGCCAACAAAAWAAAAAAGATTGTATTTCCTTTCATCCATTTATTAAGTGCAAACACTGACAAGATCTTCTGAGGAATAAGAAACACAGCTAGTACTGCAGGCTTTGGACTCCATTAATCTGCAATTGCTCAGAATTTTGTTAGCTAGGAGTGAATTATTTTACAGAAAAAGTCAGATGGGTCTTGTGATTTCCTCTAGAAGTGGTCTACAATTCAACTACAGGAGCACAGGAAGCAGATGTTGGGAGTCAGCCAGACCTGAGGCTGGCAGAGTAACGTCTGCAATGGGAATAAGGAGAAAAAAAAAAGGGTAGTTCGTGGTGTGATATAAAGATAATCAACACCTACATTTTTGGTTGCAGGGAGGAGATGAAGGCATGAACTGGCTGTGTGAAAATCCGTGGAAGATTGAGGGATAAAGGGGAGGGAGGGAGAGCTCCTGGGCCAGCCAATGGTTGGCAGAAAGGGACCCAGCAACAAAGAAGCAGCGCCTGTATTAATTTAAGCACTTGATTTGATCTAGGGAATTCTGTTTGATGTTCAAAAATGCCGAATGTGGGCACATGATGAATGATGATGCAAAAAATCAGATGGGCCGGARTGTAGCATTACAGTGGCCAGGGAGCAGGTTTGCAGCCTGTGAAGAAAGGAAAATAACCAAATCCAAGAGGCTTGGAATGATAAGGCACTGGGTAGATGGTGTGAGGAAAGCAGGACCAAAGGGAGAAAGAGGGGCACARCGTCTGGGAACAAGAAGGATAGGGGACTTTCAAGTGGCAAGACTGGAAAAGCTTCAACTTGTTCTTCAACTACAGCGTGATAAGGAGAAGCACTGAGCAAAGGCACCTCTACAAGAAAAAGGGCAACAGCRGCCAGCATGCTTCTATTCACATCATTTCAATGCAAAAGAGTTTGACTGTCTGAGAGGAAACACCTTTTTATTTTTCTCCTTCACAGTGCTGCTCTGTCCACTCTTTCCATCTTCCAGCTTCTTATGAAAAAGAGAGCACCCAAGCCTCCCATATTTGCCTTCACAGTTCACAACACGTCTGAGGTTGCCTGAGGTGCTCCATGATTTGAGACTTCCTGGAGCCCCRAGAACCTGATCCTTTTACTTTAACAGAGGCATCAGGACTGAAATAACACATTGAATTAAGCAGTGTAAACCCACAGAGCAAAAGACACAGAGATGCACCCAGATGTTAACCTGATCATTTGTGACCAAGCTCTGAATTAATGAAAGTGACTGAAATCAGCTGCACATCCTGACATAAATTAGGGAGGTAGTGAAAATGGTGCAGCAATGGTCAGCAGCCCCAGATCTCTTTGAGATTGTTGGCAGCATTAGATGGTGGATAATTGACAGTTACAAGGAGAGCAGTAACACTAAAATCTGTAACTTTAGCTCTCAAACAGATCAGGCTTCGCTCTGCCAGYAGGTAAAAAAAATATTTTTTACCTGTAAATGTTTATTTTTGTGTTAAGTATTTTAAAATATTTACATCTCAGTTAAAATTCAATAAAATATTAAATAGATCTACCTGCATGTTTTACATGAATATTTGAACAAGGTACAGCATTCATCTGACTTGTGCAACAGATGCGGCACCTACAGCTTCAGGCAATATCAAACCAAACCTCCCATATTATTAAAATACCACKGAATATGCCTTTATATATTAAACCAACATCTATTAGATATGTATCAATCCTGTTCCTTTTTATTCCATTAATACATTAAAAAAAAGCCTCTCAAATTCCAACAGCTATAACTCAATATTTGCTTACCTCACATCRCACAATTCATAGTATATGTTTCTGCTCTCGTCCTTGATGTAAATGGCCACACTAGGTGATTCCAGCATTTTCATTGTCAGCTGCTGGGGGAAGGCACTTACAAAAAGGGCACGAATTGTGTCTGTGCTTGTGATTTCATTCGGCATCCTCAGCTGCTTTGTTTCATCTCCATACTGGAGATATAAAACACCTACAAGAAAAATGTAATAGCAAATTACTTTTAATTGCACAGGACTAATCTGAACTCTCAAGTCCATGTGGAACACAGGGCAAGTCTGAGTAATTAAGAGTGAGTTCACACTCTTTATTCATAAGCCATACAAAATCTTCCTTTTTCAAAATAATACTGGAATACAAAAACTAGGGTATAGAAAAGTTATATAGCTGTACTTTAATAAATATGATTCTTCCAGTACTGCACTTTGCTAAGAAGTTTGTTTTTATTGTTCTTCAGTTAGAGAAATCAAAAGTTTATCTTAAGAAGGCTAATGGAAAACCTCATATAAAGTCTGGTCTACAGTGATGCGTAAATCATAAGGTGTTTTCCTAAAGCTATTGATGGAGAAATTCATCCTCTTATGCCAACTAGCTTCCCTTAAATATAAATTTTGCATTCTAATCCCTTGCTTACCTAAAAACACAAAAGAGCAGCTTTCAATTTCAGCACACACCATTTTGTATTCACTGTTCAATTTGCTGGCAGTATATTGTGTAAAGCCCCAGGTGATTCTCCTAACAGGAGTAAACCTGACATCTCACGCACAAGGCAGGGCTGCTGCAAAGCCTTCTGTTTTCAGAGGAGTGTTAGCAGTCATCCCTAGCACTATGGGAGGAYCATCAGTAATCCTAGATGCTGAATTGCAAAATACAGGTGTTATTCTATATTAAAGATAAAACGAAGATCATTCAGATATAGCTAATTCTGTGTCCAGGCAATGGGAGGCTGTGGGATCCTGGATAAGGGAAAAACATGGAGAGTGCAGCAAGCCCTCTGCTTGCACCATGCCCGTGTTGGCCATGTTGGGGCTATGTGGACTCCAGAACTGCCAGCAGGTATCTGTACTTCACTGGCTGGTGCTGTAGGCCCAGGACAACTCGTGAGCTTTGCTACAGCCCAGTCCTGCACCACATCCAGCTAGGAAGCCCTCCAAGGATTTGAAGCCCCGAGAAGTGTGATCCAGACTCACATCAGTGGGCAGCAGAAGTCACGKTGGACCTGGCAAAGCTGAATAACTCCGATGCCTACAGACCACCTAAGGGTCTCCTCATGCACTGGTAGGAAGGCTCTGTAAGACCTGCRTAAGTGGGTGCTGAATTTCCTATTAGCAAATAAACATCAGTCAGTTCAGGTGAGCCTGTGTATCTAGTCCATATCCACAGCACACTTCCTGACTAAATGTTGATAGTTCAGAGCACCTAGTCCTCTTTCTGAAATATCTTGGATATCCTTATGCATCACTGGGATATACTGTGCTGGGAAGGGACACTTCTGCTTTCTTGCTCTCTGCAAAAGACATTACAGAAGACACATTGCAGGAGCTTAACAGCCCAGAATGACATGGAAGAAAAAATGTAGAAAAGAAAAAAAATAATATAATTGAAGGTTATAGCCAGTGAGGTGAGATTTACAGCTAAATATTTGGTAAGTGGCTCGAAAGCTATCTAGTCATTGGAAARTATTTGAAGGAGGGACAGAAGATCAGATGTATTCAAGAACCAGTGATGATGGCAGTGTCTATACTAAATTCATCGAGGCTTTCTGAGGTACCAAGCAGGATGGTTTTGCACCAGCCAGTGTGGCTGCTGCTAGAGATGCAATGGCAGAAGCACAGCACTCAGAATAAACAGAATTGCTAAGATCTTCATTAAATCCTCAGTTATCCAAGCCGAGTTCTTTGTTGCCAGGCCCCTGTGTCCACCAATAACCAACAGGGCCAGCCTAAACTAGGCGGCGTACCTCACCCAAAAGGAATTCACCACAGGAATTGCACTGTGGGTGCCCGCTATGCTGTTCTCCCACGGCCCRTGTAACCAGGAGGGCTGGGAACACAAGCTCTTCAGTGCTGTGACCATGAGCTGCCAGCAAGCAGCAAGTTACAAAATTTAGGTGGTGATTCAATGATTCTCACTCCAAAGTCACCAAGTACCAGGACCGGTTCCTTACAGACCTGAGATACCTTGAGCAAAAGCAATAGGAGAAGCGAACGTACTAAAATACAAAGAAATAAAGCAAAAAGAACAGGAGACATTTAAATCTAGGATTAGGTCTCCTTTTCCATTAGTATTTAGTATTTTTGTCACTRTGTTGTCCGTAATTGCTACAGAGAAATGAACACATACTTAGGCAGATGTTCCTGCAATCAGTGGGTAGATAATTGTACCTAGGGAAGGAAAATGATGTTAATTTTTATGAATACTCAGCAGACTACTCAAAATTATCTAACTATTATTAAATATTAGGCTGCTTTTATAAAGTGGAGCTATTAACATCGTTTTCCTAGTATCAAGAGCTGATAATATTTTTCTCATTAAACTGCAGTCCGATTCTTTATGAATGCTATTATAAACCTGCCTTTTACTTTGGCTGAAAAACTTGCTCAGATCGAAAAGCCACTTTATTTCAAAGGTTGAGGAGAATTTTTGTGAAAATTTTATTTTTCAAGCCAATATTTCAAGAGTTATTAAATTWTTCCTTCATTTAAATCTCAAATACCATTTTTTTATGCATTTCTGGATACAAATGGCTCATTAGTGTCCATTCAAGTATTCTATGCACTTAAAACATTCTTTGGATTTCAGAAAATAACTATATTTCAGAAAATATTGAAGTACAGCTGTTTTTAATATTTGTTCTTAAATCACTGATACAGGACACCCATAAATTTATTAACTTTTGATATCAGCTGTCAACTTTGGAATAATGTAAGGCATTTTATTTTGCTACTGGAAGCTTTCTTTAAGTAAATGGCAAAAATAATTTTTTGCTAAAAATAGAAACTTTCTATCAGCTTTGGAGGTATGTGTGATTATTTTTTCTGAGTAGTTTAAAAGTAATCATAGAAAGCATAAAATGCTGTTTCTGAGTTTCAATCCACTGAAAATATTCTGAATATTGAGCCGATGAAACCATTATCACAAGAAACGACAGAGCTCAAAAACTTGCCCCATTCACAAATCTGAATTATTCCAGTATAGTCTTGACTTTGCCTGTCCCATAGACATTGTCCCATTGATCCAAAACTAAATTAGAGTTGTCTTTGGTCTGTGATTTTCAAACTAAATGTGCATGTTATCTGGAGTGATCATGTCTTAAGCTTGAGAKATTTTACATACAAATCAGAGAGATATTTTGGCCACAATCTTACTGTAGGGGTAAAAGACATTTCCAACAGACTAATAAATTATTTTTTCTCCCCTTAAATCACATGCCCTTTTACAAAACTACTGCCTTTCCTATAGAGTCATTTGATCTGTATTAAGATACAGCAGTGCTTTAGGGCATTTCCTATTKGACAGAACTGCTTCTTAGAAATCCTGTTCCAGCATGACAGGATAAAAGGGCTCAAAATCCATTATTTCAAGTCAGCATCATTGCTGTTTCTCACACACTTTCTTAGGCTGAAGCTCAGAACAGTGGCAATACCCAAACACTCAACGTCATGGAAGCAGTGGGAGCTGAGTGTCTCCTACTGCCGCCTAASAAATCCTCCTCCTTAATTAAGAATGAGAATTAAAGCAAGAAGAAATAGGATCTAACCCTAAAGGATGTGGGTAGGGCATATTTGCTAGCAGAACTTTYTGGAAAGCAAGCTCAACAAAATGGATGTTTATGTATCCTAAAGTTCCTCTTGCATTTACTCTTCTGTCACTGTGGAGCTACTTGAAACATGGAGATTGCGCTGAGTTTTATAAAACACCAAAGAGAGTGGCCTGTGACAGGCAGGAGGGCATTAACATCAGTGTGAGCGATGAAACGGCACCCTGCAACCCATGCGAATGGCTCCGTCAGACACCACTGCAGTTATCACTTCCAGGTGCTCCTAGATGCCGCCTCTCCAGGACGTTTGTACAATTACACGACAAAACTTGAAGTTCAGCTTTCTCCTGCTTTATACTTGCACAACTTAGCTTCAGAAATACCTCTGAAATTTCTGATCTATCTTTACTGTATAAGCGATGGGCCACAGCTCTAAACACAAGCCATCGTAGAGAACATTGAAAACTTAAATCTCTTTACCAATTGCTTCCTGTGATTCCTGTCAACAGAAAATTATATTTTATAGTAGGGGAAATTAAACACCCACTAGGTGAAAGGACATGTTCAAAGGAAGTTTTACAAGCAAAAAATCCAGATCCCCTGATGACCATGTGAACACACCACATGATTGCCCTTGTCTTCCCTGCATACAGAGCTCTTTCAAATGATGTTCTGCTCTTTCCTTTACAAAGGTTCAGTTAGGAGAGACTTGCAAAATAGTCTCTCTTTTCTCTCAGGGCTTGTCTCTAAGCAAAGCATACAGTGTAATGAGAGATGCAATGTGACAATATTAAACCAATTTATATATGCTGTGCCTCAAACACAAGTTGATCCCACCTGAGCCAAGGTGGGAAGGTAAAAGTACCTTAGAAGATACTGAGAGTAGCCACATACCAGCTTAACCCTGGGCCTTCAGTTCAGTTAGGACAGCACTAAGGACTGCCCATGTTGTGACTAAAGCACACGTACCTCAGTGAGGGCACTCAGCTCAGATACAGCTGCCAGTGTTGCAGCAAGGGCTCTAAAACCCACCTGAAAGCTGAGGACATGTCTACGTGGCAAACTGTACAGAGATGCCCAAAATCACAGGGTCCATGCTCGCTTTAGGGCAAGTAGATGTGTAACCAAGACAGCCCCAACTTTACTACCCAGGGTAGTAAGACCCTAACTCATTAATTACAACTGCTGAAGGTCTATTTCTTATGGTGAAAGCTAATGTCACGCAGACARGGTGTCACCACCCCTTGTACGTGTACGGGCTCAGGTGTCTCAGCACCTCGCTCTCGTATCGGCTACTGACCTAACTCTGACTAAACAGGGTGTTATCACAGTTACATTGCTAACACTTAATCCCAGTGCTTGGTAGTTGAAAGACAGTTCAGAGATGCTTAGAAGGACTTTAATTACAACCTACTTTTATTTACAGAAGAGGA